CACCACAAATTACTCCTGTTTCTTTACCTCCTCAAATACCCTTTGGATATCAACAACAACACCAACATGAACGTTATCCACAACAACAACTTCAATACTCTGGCCATCCACTGCCACAACAGTTTCCTGTCCATCGCCATCATCCTTCAATGTTACCAAGCACCGAAGCATTGTATGCTAATATGCAAGGATATGCTCAATTCATTCCAAATATAGTAAACAATGCCATGGCCTCTAACAAAATACCAGGTAATGTTACACCTATTTATTTGAAATTAATTAAATATAAATAAATAAAAATTCATTAACCAATTTTTTTAAAAAAAGGTATTCCTAACAATTCTACATTACAACAACATGGTATGATGACCTTGGAGGAAATAGAAAGGAAGGGACTTGGTGGTCGTTAAATTGATAGATAAAATAAATATTGGGTTTTTTTAAAAAAAAATTAATAAAATTAATGAACATTTCATGTATATTTTCTTTCTTTAATCTTTTTTATTTTGTTTGATTATTACAATTCTTTGTTTTTTATTATATATAATTTATCATTATATACTTTTATTTTTTTTATTTTTTATATTTTATATTTGAAGTTAATATAATATAATATAATAATAATACATTATAATTACTATATACTACAAAAAAATATTTTTGCATGATAGAGATATTAAAAAATCAGCCCATTTACAGCACAATATTCTTTCCATAGATTTATTACGACTCTTAAATCATATTGTCGTCTTCAAGAACTAATGTTCCATATATTTTAAAATTTCTAGAGGAACATCAAGCAATGTAACCTTCTTTCATAAATTTGCTTTTAATGCCAATGTGCCAAAATTGTTAATCCAATCATTTTTATTGGACTTTGGATTAAATTGTACCAATGTTGGCAATTTAACTGGTTCAAATCTTTTTTATTTGAATTTTTTGAACTAGCAGTCAAATGATATGTCACGGGAGGTGCAATAAAATAGAAAATCAGACTCGTGTAACCAATCAGTTTTTTAAAATATCTCC